TTTTTTTTTTAGAGACAGAATCTTATTTTTGTGGCCCTTGATAGAGTGCTGTGGCATCACAGCTCACAGCAACCTCCAGCTCTTGGGCTTAGGTGATTCTCCGGCCTCAGCCTCCCAAGTAGCTGGGATTACAGGCACCTGCCATAACACCTGGCTTTTTTTTTGTTGCAGTTTGGCTGGGGCTGGTTCGAACCTGCCACCCTCAATATATGGGGCCAGCACCCTACTCACCGAGCCACAGGCGCCGCCTGCATTGAATTTCTTTAGTGTTGATATCACAGTATCTCAAAACTAGCAAATCATCTTATCTTTCATAGAAAACAAGGTAATATTGCAGTTTTCAATCATTAGAAAATCTGTTTTCTTCCTTCAGCATTCTCTTGGTCTTCTTCGACAGGATGAGCTGTTAAGCAGCCAGAGTTAAAAAATACTACTGGACTATGCAGCTATTCACAAAGTCACTTTAAACAGAAATACGGTGTTTCTAATAACAGACTGGCATACTCCACCCCCATAAACTCTCACCAACCAGTATTGTGTGGTAGTGGTGCCAGTTAGGTAGGGGGAGTTAGAACTAAATTATGAGCATAGCAGCCATCAATTTAGCCTTATGCTTACTAATGTTCTCATTGTGCCAGTAAATCTGGCAGGATTATTTTGTTGAAACTTATTTTCTTCTCTGGTATTTTAAATACATTCATTTAAAAAATAAAAGTATAAAAGATGGACAAAAATGTAATAATAAGAGTAAAATTATTCTGTAAAATTTGATTCGGTCAAAAGATAACACTTAGGGGTGCAGATTCCCCACCCCTCTCCTCCTGTACATTGTTATCTGGATTCAATACTGAATCAGGCTTGGATTTAATCCCCTTTGACAATCCTTTGGGCGATGTGTGGCATGATGTCTCATTGTGTCTCTCTTTGTGATCTCAGCAGCTATTGTTACTTGATGAGTAAATTCATTCTCTGAGAATTGCAGATATTCTAATTCTAATCATATCTTTTT